CCAGCATTTTGTGATGTCTCATACAATTTTTTGGCAGTCCTCTGATATCCAGATGGTTTGTGGAATATTCTGCGTAAAGTCAAAGTCACCTCCACATTTTGTGCTTCATCAGAATCTATCGGAATAATAGGAATCAATGGGAGTTGAACAGGCATATCTTGACCTATTAAATAGCAACTTTGATTTGCACAAACAGCTAGTTCAAGAGGAAACAAATAATATTTCCAATAAAGAGAAAATCCATAAACTCACAAAGGAAATAGAAGCATGTGAACGATACATTTCCTACCTCGAAAAAAATCTTGTCTCACATGAGGATGAGATTGATCAGTTAAAAGCAGAGTGTCAGTCCACTTTAGTTGAACTTGGAAAGTATCGAGATCACTTAGAGTTAAAGGAAGAGGCACTTGTTGCCTAATTCAGCTTTGGTAGAAAGGCTCTGGTCAAACATGGGATTTTTACATTCAAAACGTCAAAATTGGCTTGATGTATGTAAAAAATAATTTATAATTTAATTGTTTAATTCATATAAATTAATTTAAATTTTATTTTAAGTGTATAAGAACTGACCTCTAACAATATGAATATTAAACATAACAAAAATAACGGTGTTTCCAAAACATGTATTGTATACTTGGCGTTGTATGTATTGTATATTGATTTTTTCTGTTTGTATGAAATGTATAGTTTGTTTTATATCCATACATGTATAAATATCGTATACTATGTATGGATTACATATTTTATATTTTATTATACATGTATAAATTATTGTACTTAATTGTAATTTTTTTAAATCGGAATTTTGCAAAAATAAACCTTTTATTATCAATAAATTTTAATATTCAATATACTAATTACATATTAAGTATATTAAGTTCTTTTACGCAATTTAAGATTTTCCAACTCTAATTTTTCGATTTCTGCTTGGGCTTTACGATCTGCTGTTCGCCTTTCAGCTAATTTCATTTTTCGTTCTTCAATCTCTAGCTTTATAATTTCTTGCTCTTCATTACTGCTATCAATATCAATTTTAGTTTTATTCGTTTGTTTTGTTTTTGAATTATTTTCACTTGTAGTTTCTTGTTCGTCATTACTGTCGTCTATGTCAATTTTAATTTTTTTTGATTTCAAATTATTTTCACTTGTAGTATTCTTTCTTTTTCCTCTTTTTGGTTGTTCTCTATTTGTTATATCCTGCATTGGTACTATTTTAATATAATTAAATGAGATTAATTAATTAATTAATAATTAGATGAAATTTAATTTAATGTACTTTTATAATAAATAGCCTACTTTTTGATTCTTCTGATGTATCCTTTTGGCTTTTTTATTAGCATTAGTATCTATTAAAGTAATGTATTTTAGAATAAATAATTTAATTACAATTATTACTTTATAATTACTTGCCTTTTCGTGACATAGCTTTTGCTTTTCGTTTAATTTCACTTTTATTTCTTCTGGTATATGGAACACCAAATTTATCATTAATTTCAGCTATCTTAAAAAGTCTTTCATCAAGTCGTCTACCTCTAAAAATGGTTTAAAAAAAAATTAAAAATTAAAAAAAAAAAATTGATTTTAAATTTAGTGCTATAATTAACCTCATAATTGCTGTAAGAAGCTTCAATTGCTTTCCCTCTCGATTGGCTTGAGCATGAGCTGCTTCGGCTATATTTGTGTTATTTCCATGACGATCCCAAATTTCATTTTCCATATTTGAGTTATATTTATTTAAAGACGCCAAAACATAGGGTTGGCGATAATATTGAACCCAATCTATTATATGAATAATTATCATAAGAATAAAATTAAAAATTAAAATTACAATTAATAAAAAAAATATTAATTATCATTTACCTATTATACGTTTATTATCATATAACTCTAATTTTTTAAAGCATTCGTGAACTTCTTCGACACTAGATCTGGTTGGAATTGATTTTGCTAATAGATGTACTTCATTATCAAATTTTTTAGCTATTAAATTACTAAAAAAAAAATATATTAAAATTTCATAATTTTAAATATTTTATAATAATTCTAAAAGTGTTCTTACCGATTAAAATGGACAAAACATGATTTAAAAATATATGTCAAATGCTCTTCCCAATTTCTACTAGGATCTCTTTTTTCTAAAGCCAATCCCAGACCCTTTGCTTGTCCAGGATCAAGATCTCCAAGTATGCATTCCCAACCTGTTCCATCAATATGATAAAATTTTACAGGCTTTTCACTTAAATTTTCAATTACTTCAAAAAGCTGAGTAAATAAACGTTGATACGCGTTAGCTGTAAATATGTTAGTATAAATACGACAATAGGACAATACTAAAAAAAATTAATGTTAATTATTTTTATAAAAATATAATGATATAAGCATATACTATAATTTAATTAATATATTTACTTAATTTGTGCATTTCATCATAAGAGTTAACTTCGAATTCATTAATATCCCCCTGTACTCTTTTAAATGTTAAGTCAATTTGAAAGCACTTTAAATTTTGTAATGCTTTTGCTTGAAAATCAAGCATACATAAAATCAAAGTTTGTCCATCCTCAAATTGCTCTATAATAAAAGATAATAATAAATTATAATTTCATATAACAAATCTCAGTAAAATGTAATACAAAAATTAAATATACAGTAATGCTTACCTATACGACGTACATAGTTATGCATATCAAATTTCTTGCACTGAACACTATGCATAACACCCAAATTTCCCTGTCCATAGGGATGCATATTCTTGTAACATTTAGCAACAAGTGTCCTAAGTTTATCTACATTATTTAATGATGCATGCACCTCTGATAAAGTATCTTTATCAAAGGTTGCATTAATGCTGTTATTTTCTATTTAAATAAAATATAGTATAAAATTGTTAGTATTTTAGTATTAAATTATGTAATTACTTTTTTAAAAAAAAACTTACTTGCTATAATTGAGCGTGGAGTTACACTATCATCTGAAGTAATAATATTTTGAATCATTGTTTGTAATTCATCTCTAATGCCTACTGGTGTGCATTCTGGTGGTGGTGGTGGGTGGTTATGTGTACCTATGCATACTAATGCAATATAAGGACATGCGGCTAAATCATATGGAATGAATTTAATAAACTGCACATTGCATGTTCGTTCAACTATAGTTCCTTGTACGACTTGATTATCTTTAACATGTGGAAACTCTTAACAAAAATAAAAAATAATTTTAGTCATTATATATTTATTATGTTTAATTTTTTATATCAAAATTTAATTAATTTACTAACCACATGATTTTATTCTTGAGGCTCATGGAACCAAGGTACAGCATTGGTTTTCCTTATTATCTACACCAATCTGAATTTATACAATTAATAGTATTTAGTAATATGTAAATTAAATAAATAATTGTAGAGTAATACTTACATCTCGTCCTTGAAAAAGATCTCGCAATAATTCCAAATCAATTTCTTCTTGGACTTTAATGTATCGATGCCATTTTTCTCCTCTAATCCATTTGTCACATCCAATAAAAAACTCTTCGCCTCCATTTTTAATAATTCTTCTTAATTTTGCTTGGCCATTGCAAAATTGATTATTTACTTTATATTTACAGGTCGTTAATTAGGCAGCAAGATAAAAACTAATTTAAATATATATAAACTGATTAATATTAACAAATAAAAATAATTAACATAAAGCAAATATTAATAAACTTACGTATAAGTTTTAACTTTTTTATTATTATTATATTTATGTTGATTTAATTTAATAAATGTTTCTGATTCCATATCAACTTCATTATGCTGCTCATTAATAAAATTTGGATCGGCAAAAGAACAATGTTTGATCCCTTGGCACTTTCGCACATCCTTTTTTACTGACACTCCAAGATAAGGACAATTTTGTATTGTAGTTGATCCACCTGTTCCATTATTAGAATACTGAATCTAATATGATAATAAATTAAATAAAGTAGCAAAGTAAAATAATTTTAATGATGAAAAATATTTACATCATTAAAACAGGCCATTGGATTTGCCCAGCCAGTAATGTTGAATATTGTGGCCACTCCTTGTGGTGAAGTTTTTGGATATTCAATCGGAAGAGCTGAATGTATAACTTCTGGAACTGAGAGATATTTTGTAAAAAATGCTATTGGTTCCTCATTTTCATTAAAATTCCAAATAAAAATTAAAAGTTATTTAAATAATTATATTAAACCTTAATAATATCAAATTAGTAAAAAAGGACAAAAAGTAAACCTGTTCATCTTTTTCAGAATATTCATCTTCAGATATAGTTTCACCATCAGATATAGTCTCAATATCTGAGAGAATAATTGGATTTATTTTGGACATAGTAATAAACGCATTGTAAATATTAGAAAAAAAAAATAGAAAAGAAAAGCAAACTACAATAATACTGCGCGTTTAAATTGTTATTATTATTATATAAAAGTGAAGCACAATGAGACTGCGCGTTAATTGTTATTATTATATAAAAGTGAAGCACAATAAGATTGCGTGTTAATTGTTTTATTATTACTATATAAATTATGTAATAAATCAAATAAATCATGTAAAAAAACCTGATATAGATAATTTACATAATGCTTTATTATTTTTTTTCCAAAAAAAAAAGTTAAATTTAGTAACAGTAATTGTGTGTAAGTTACTATATTTCCATATTTATTAAACAATACATGAAATTGCTACACTTGTTATACAATACAGACATAACTAACTTTACACTTTACACTGAACCATACATTACATACGTTGAAAAATTATAATATACTATACATACAGTGTTAATTATACACTACATGTTTGCTATATACCCCAAAAATAAAATTAATATAAATAAAGATTATTTCAATAATTATTATATCTGTATTTAAAATATTAAAAATTGAAATACAATAACTGACAAATAGTTCAACAAATAAAGAATAAATAATAGAATTATTAAATGTTAACTTCACATTCAAAACAACCAGTATTTAAGATTTCAGTAAGTTTACGACTTGTATGATATGCTTGTGTATGAGGTTGTATAATAGAAGCATTTGCTTGCTCTTGTACTAAAGTTTTGTTTGCTTTTATAAATTCAAACATATCAACTTCTGATTGATTATCAATATTAAGTACTTGATATTTATAATTTCCATCCCTATTTATTTCATAATATTCATTAATACATCTAATCCATTCAGATATAATATTTTCTAGCATTGTTATGGTTGGTCTATTGGAAGGATCTGAATCCCAACATCTTTTCATTAAATCTATATAACATTTTGGAGTATTTTCAATAATTTCAGGGCGTTCCCCTTTACAAACACTCAAAATAAGGTGATGATCATGTGCTACATGATTAAATGGAGGAATACCAGATGCAAATTCCCACATTATCATTGAAAAGCTATAAATATCACTTGCTGGTGTATAGGGTTTTTTTCTTAATATTTCAGGCGCCATATAAGGCAAAACTCCATAAACTTCATTTAATTTACTATCAGAGTCTTGTAAATCACTTATAGGTTTACATAATCCTAAATCAATAATAAATAACTCATTGTAATTATCTGATAATAAAATATTACCATCATGAAAATCACCATGAGTTAAATTTGATTCATGAATTACTTTAAGTCCTAATACAATTTTTTTCAATAATTGTAACTTTTCTTGCCATTTAAATTTAATTATATCAGATAAACATTTTCTTAAACTTCCTTTTTTTGCATAACTCATTACTATTATAT